GTAGCCCAGTTCATCCGCATCATCCCGGTGGTCTGCCGCAGGGCCTGCACCCTGCGCATGGAGCTGGTGGGCTGTGAGTTGAATGGTAAACATCTACATATTTGAAGCTTTTAAAAAGCTAACTCAAAAATAAAAAGCAGTTCATAATACTTGATCTAATTTGAACTCAAGGCAGAAAATAACAGTAACTGAAATCGTTCCATGAAATCAGGGTTAATATGAAGAGATTGTAGTAATTCTGTGCTCTTTGCTGCCTACATTCTGCTACTGTCTCTTGCCTCTCTCTACTCTCCTCTTCTTTTATAACTGCCTGGTGTTACATTGGTTAAAATCACTTGTGGGTTGAATTTTCTTTGCAAGGTTCTTCTGGGTGTATTCATGTCTTTTTTATTTCTTTTCTGCTCTTTCCTTCTCCTCCCCCTTCCCTTTTTTCTTTTTGTTTTGTTTTACTTTTGATTTACAGTTTATTCAAACACGGCAGGTTGCTCCGAGCCCTTGGGAATGAAATCTCGACTCATCTCTGACGACCAGCTTTCAGCCTCTAGCACTTTCCGAACGTGGGGAATCGATACCTTCACCTGGCACCCTCAGTTTGCCCGGCTGGACAAGGCGGGGAAGACGAACGCCTGGTCTCCTGCTCAAAACAATCGCTCAGAGTGGATCCAGGTTCAGAAAACTTTATGAAAACACAATTGTTATTGGTTTTATGAGTGATACTTAAAATCCAGTTCAATCTGGGGTTTCTTACTCTGTTTCTCTCTGCTAACTCCTCAGGTGGATCTTGGTAAAATGAAACAGCTCACAGGCATTGTCACTCAGGGGGCTAAAGACTTTGGAGTGGTGCAGTTTGTTTCAGAGTTTAAAGTGGCATACAGCAATGATGGAGAGTCATGGAGTATCGTGAAAAATGAGAACACTGGTGGTGATAAGGTCTGAATACTTGAAATGTTCATCCATAATATCTTATTTTTCATTTATAACACCTTTCTAATTGATTTAACTGTAAATTTGGGAAAATGTAAACAATTTGCCTTTTTTTATACCATCTTCACCATATCTTGCTGGAAGAACATGTTCTCTTCTTCCTATTTTGAAGAGAAAGGAATGCCCTTCTGTCCCTTTTTAACATTTATTTTCTAAGGATATGAATTCACAAATATTTAGCAAACAAATATGAATGAATTAAAGCTAAAATGTGTAATATATACAAGGATTTACTGATAGAAATACAATATATTATACATATGTTTGTGACTTATCATCTACCAGCTTAAAGAATCCATCTTTATGTTTGTGTTGCCTTGGAAATTGCTATTTACAATTAAGAAGGAGCTGACAAACTAATGAATGTAGGTATCGCCATTCCGCTTCACTGTGGCAAGTTAGCCCTATATAAAATATATATCTAATAAAATACTATTTATAAAATAATCTATGTAAACAAACCTCATCATTACTTCACAAGAAGTGATGCAGACGTTGCAGAAGCCATTTTGTACCATGACGACCTCTGTATTGTTGGAGGGGGAGAAGTGGAGGGGAAGCGGTTTATGTCGCTGCAGTCTGACCATTAGATGTCGCTGAAAATGACACACTGTAGCTTTGAACAAGGACAGTAGAGATAAATAAAAAAGAGCTTTAATTAATTTATTTGATATGAACTGTTAGGGGCCCTTATACCTGTGGCACAAATGGCACAAACATTCTTTCAACATCTCAACCAATAAATAGGTATTATATTAAAATAGAGTTTTTATAATTACATTGTTTAATGTGGAGCTAACCTGCAGGCAGGACAGATGCTTATTTTTCAATGTCTTTTTTTTCTTCTGTTTCTTTTCATCTTTTTACACGTTGTCATCAAAGGGCAGCAGAGAAAGGAAAAAAATAATTGGTGGAGCTGGTAAAAAATCACAGAAGACTGATGTTAAGCAGCTACTCTATAAAAAAGAAGAGAAAATTGTGTAAAAATTGAAAAATTTCAGTGATATGCTATAAGCTATGACAGTGGCGAATACGTCGTTTGATGAGGAGGAGCTCTTTCATTGATCGTCAGATCAGATCGGGTGTCATTAATGGGAGAGAGAACTGCAGTTTACAGAATTTTCCTCAAATTTTTTCTTTTTTATGTATAATTTCTCATCATATAATTTTTAGATTTGACAGGCCCCAATTTAAACTGGAAAACACCTTTTAAGCGTTTTAATCTGTTATTACAGGTATTACATTCTGAGGCATGCTCTCAGTTCTATTGGTGATTACGAAAACATTGGTGAAGATGGAATGTAAGCAGAAAGTTTTCTCCTGGGGCGGCCAGTTGAGGCTCACTGATCATCTGATTTTAAACCAAGTGCAGGAGAATTATAGGAGATTTTATTTATCTAGTTTTAAAAAAGTGCTATGATTTTATTAAAATTACAAATGCATCACTTTTTTTTTTTTAGATTTTCCAGGGAAACATTGACAACAACAGTCACAAGAAGAACGTGTTTGAGCCCCCGTTCTACGCTCAATATGTACGGGTCATCCCTTGGGAATGGCACGAGCGCATCACTCTACGCATGGAGCTGCTGGGCTGCGATGACTAAAACCAATCTTTCCTCATCCATTTCTTCCACCAAGCTGTGGAACGACGACCTCTTCTGTTTGGCACTATATGGAGATCATGTCTGCTGAATAGTTTGGACTCTAACACCTATAGCACTTTTTATTAGTGACTTTTTTCATGTTTACATGGCTACATTATTTAACATCCCAGCCTTTGGTGACTCAAGGAGCGCTGCTTTGATTATTTGTAGTTTTAGAAGCTTTATGTATAAAAATGTATTTTATTTGGGCAATTTACAGCCTATAAGGGTTTAACTCCATTAACAGCATGCACAGGACAGATGCTAAACTCCTTTAAAGCTTTTTCTTACTTCTGTAAAAACTTATGAAATTGTGGAGGACTTTTTGTTACGTCTAACTGCTCCAGAAAACACAAAAACCAGAAAAAAAGAGGACAGTCTCCAACATTAGTAAGGCTACCACATAAGTAGTCCTCACTTACAGGTCAGCTGATAGATTCTATGTAATTAACAGAAATTTAAACTGTGTAATTTTGTTCTGATTTGATGATTTGTACAATTGATGTGAAATATAAGGAAAATGTGCACAAAAAATAGATTTACATTTATTTTTGTTTTGTAACTCATTGTTGGTGTGAGACTAAGATTAAATGTTCAACATAATCTCTTCAGTGTGGCATGCGTTTGTTCATAAATGCATAATGCTTTGTTCCTCTTGCTGCAAAGCATCTTTGTGAACTACACTGAGGATGCAGTAGTAGGTAATAGGAGGAGCATCTCAGCTTTTATACATGCGGGGATCCAATATTTGATCTGCTGTTAAGCTGTCAATTTCCCAACTCACAAACACATTAACCAACTCTTTTTTTATGGTTCCTTCTTGCTGATTATTGGAAATTGACAGAATATCAGTCGAAAATGTATGACAGATAAAAAAAAAAGTCTGTTTATTGAATTGTGAAATAAGAATTCAATCCCAGCAACTACTGCAACATGACACACATCTGTGCACAATCAAATAATTACCACACCCCTGATCTTAACACCTCATTTGTATGAAGCACATGTACTTTTTTTTTTGCATATTAATCACTTTTGCAACATGGTAAAAACCAAGGACCTGTCAAAAAATAGGTTATATTTTAAAAAAGTTGTCTTGCACAAGAACTGCTGGTGCTATTATTGCGAAGGGTACAGGATGATTGGGCCGTGTAACATAAAATCTTGTCTCAAAATCTGCTTTGCTCAGCAGAAACACTTAAGAGGGGGGCATGGGTGGGTCTTCAGCATGACAATGACTCAACAAAGGAGTGGCTCAGTGAGAAGCCAAGGAGGTTCATGGAGTGACCTAGTTAGTCCCCTTAACTCAGAAAACCTGTGGAGGAGGCTGAAGGTATTAATTTTAAAATGGATGTCAGGAAACATGGGGGTCCAATCCCAAACCTAACCCTCCATTTGTGCTGTCCCACTGAGGGTCTGCAAAATGATGGGCCATCCCGAACCACATAGTGGGTAGGTCGAGTGAATTATCCAGGGAGTGTCAATCAGCTGGAATTCAGCAGCGGGGGTCATTGACAGAAGCGAGGCTGCTGTACACTGGCGCCCCCAGTCCCTCTGACCTCCCTCGGACACAACAATACTGAAAGCTAGAGCTCAAACCGACAACCTTCTGGTTGGAGCGCAAACTCCTTCTTCCAACACCACTGTCACCCCCAACATTTGTCTTAAGACAGGCAAATGTTTAGTGTCATGTGAACCTGAGGCACAGAGCTACAGCCATGCACATGGGACGTCACCATGTTGCCATAGAGACAACTGTTTTCCTTTTCTGCTGGAGGGAAGAAGCCATCCCATTCTGGTTTATAGCCCCCAGCTTCAATCAAGGCACCTTCCACAGCTGCAAGTGGGACTTGATAGTTAAGGGTTAGTGCTTAGTGGGCGGTTTGGGATTCAGCCTTAGAGACAAACTGGAGGATCCTTTCAGAGAGGTCTAAAGGCCAACTATTAAAAGATAAGAAATATTTTTTCCTCAGTTTTCTCATAATTATTGGCTATAAAAACCTAGGCACATTATTTTTATGTTATCTTACATGTTTATATAATCTTTACAATTTTGGCATAATTACCGCTCTGCCTGGGTTGCTCTTTCAGCTATTGGCATGTGTGAGAGTCCGTATGTTAAGCTAACAATTGATCAATTACTCACCAAGTTGACAATTATTTCAATAATTGATTAATCACGATTAAGCAGACTAATTCTTCCACAACTACACATGATTATTTAAGAACATTAAAATACATAAAGAGAAATACTAAAAAAGACACATTTTTAGAATTTTGAATAAATCAGTTTAATTTTTCCAGCTCATTGGGAAAATATTTAATGCCAAACAGTGATGAGATTAAACACCTCACTTTTATGAGTGATTAAAAAAAAAAAAAAGAGTTTCAGTTGCATCGCTCTACGAATTCATTTAACAAAAACAGGTTGGATAAAGAAATACAGCCAGTTAAAGGAATGTCATCAAAGTAGCTGTCTCTGTCAGAGACTCCTGTAAAGCATTCAGTTATTTATGATCAAAGCCATAAACTATAAATGGGGAAAAGGCAGGTATTACCATCATGACTCCAATTTATAGCTCATATGTACATGAAACCTAAGAGCCTCTTAAATGAGTGGCAGCCTGTGAGTTTTTGCAAATGTAAGCAGTATAGATTTTGCTAAAAGTTTAGAGTGATAGAATGGTTCTGTGAATTAGGAGACGGCTGGCTTGCAGGCAAAATAAAGAAACACTGTAGGAGTCAAAATACCGAGCAGTAACGCTAACAGATGCAATAAGCTAAATCAACCCCAATCCTGTATAATAAAGGGTAAATGTTGGAAATGATGAACCATGAACCTCTACATGAACTCAGCTTCAAAGAGGACTCTCTCGATTTTCATCCTGACATCTGTCTTTTTGGAAGGGGCCAGTTTTTTGAACATTTTCGCCAGGTTCATGAAGTAAAACTCGTCACAGTCCTGTGGTTTATCCAAGTTCACTTGCAACATTTTGTGCTGTTTGGTCACAAGTGGCACTTCTTTCACTGCAGCATTGCCGTCGCTCGGTCTGCAAACTAACAGGATGTCCGACTTGCTGCTGCTGCTTCCCTCCCCTTCGGTTTTACTCTGAGCATCCATGGGGACATCTTCACTCTCACTTTCATTGGGCCCCTGGGTAGAGAAGAAGTTTTTAAAAAAAACACAGAGAAATAGAAAGCTAGTCATCTACTGAGGAGTCCCATACATTTTTTTTCTGTTTCTTCACTAACACTGATGAAGGGTATGTACACGACCGTTGTAATAGAACCAGTGGGTGATAGGTTTGTCACAATACTAAAATTTCAAACTCAATATCAATAATATCGATGGTTTGCAGGAAATATTCAACACCATTTAAGAAATCAAGGGGATAAAAAAAAAGACAAATCAGTAAAGACAATTAAAACATTTTAAATAACATGAAAAACTCCCCATTTTTAATCTTAACCATGCTTCCGTAGCAGCATCACAGATGCTGGTTAAAGAGGTTTGCAATAAATGCAAATACAACTTAACAATAGCATAAGGCTATATGTGGTACTATTAGGTTAGATACGAGTCAAACGACTCGGCTTGCCACCTGCATTCAATTCTAAAAATCTAAATATCCATTGTTTGAATAAAAAATAAGAATGAAAGCACAGAGGTAAAATAGAATGGTTTTATATATATATATATCAAAATAGATGTAGAAGTTTTAAATATATCTAGTTTTTATCATTTTGTTGCATTTAATAGCTTAATAATTTAAATCACAAGCCATTCTTTCTCTAACGATTTATGTTATTATTTATGAGCCATCTATTTATTTCTCTAACCATTCCTAATTATGGTACGATTGGCCCTTCATACTTCACCTACTAAATTAACTGATATGTTTCTCCATATTACTCTGAAATACACTGTGTGCAGAATTATTAGGCAAGTGAGTATTTCGACCACATCATCCTTTTCATACATGTCCTACTCCAAGCTGTATAGGCTTGAAAGCCAACTACCAATTGGTAAATCAAGTGATGTGCATCTCTGTAATGAGAAAGGGTGTGGCCTAATGACATGAACACCTTATATAAGGTGTGCTTATTTATTAGGCAACTTCCTTTGGCAAAATGGGTCAGAAAAGAGATATGACAGACTCTGAAAAGTCAGAAATTGTCAGATGTCTTCCAGAGGGGTACAGCAGTTTGGAAATTGCCAAGCTATTGAAGCGGGATCATTGCACAATCAAGTGGTTCATGACAAATAGCCAAAGGGGGCGCAAAAAGCGTGTTGAAAAAAAGAAGACGCAAAATAACTCCCCATGAATTGAGTAGGATCAAGCGTGAAGCTGCAGGGAAGCCATTAGCCACCAATTGTGCCATATTTCAGAGCTGCAACATGTCTGGAGTGCAGAGAAGCATAAGGGGCTCAATACTCAGGGACCCGGCCAAGGTAAGGAAAGCCAAAAAAAAAGACCACATTTGAACAAGGCAAAATGTCAAGACTGGGCCAAGAAATATCTGAAGACTGATGCCTCCAAGGTGTTTTGGTCTGATGAAATGAGTGAGTCTTGATGGGCCAGATGGATGGGCATGAGGCTGGAGGGCAGCAAGTTCCTTATTGACTCAGACGCCAGCAAGGTGGAGGTGGGGTACTGGTATGGGCTGGTATCATCAAAGATGAGTTAGTGGGACCTTTTCGAGTTGATGATGGAGTCAAGATCAACTCCCAGACCTACTGCCAGTTTCTGGAAGACACATTCTTCAAACAGTGGAACAAGAAGTCGCCATCCTTCAAGAAAAACATGATATTCATGCAGGAAAATGCTCCGTCACACGCATCAAAATACACCACAGCGTGGCTGGCCAGAAAAAGTCTAAAAGGAGGGAAAAAAAATAATGACATGGCCCCCTTGTTCACCTGATCTGAACCCCATGGAGAACCTGTGGTCCTTCATGAAATGTGAGATCTACAGGGAGGGAAAACAGTCCACCTTTCTGAACAGTGTCTGGGAGGCTGTGGTGGCTGCTGCATGCAATGTGGATCGCCAAACAGATCAAGACACTGACAGAATCTATGAATGTAAGGCTTTTGAGCATCATGGTGAAGAAAGGTGGCTTTATTGGTCATGATTTGTTTTTTTGTTTTTCAAATGTCGCAAATGGTTTTTTTTCTGAATTTTGGGTTGTTATATTGGTTTACCTGTTGAAAGTAAACTAGTGAGATGGGTACATGTATATATATTTTTTTCATTATGCTGCCTAATAATTCTGCACAGTAATATTTACCTGCACACACAGACATCCTCATAAAATGGCCAAATCTAGAAAAAAAAAAAAAAACACACCAACTTCCAAAAATAAAACTTTCATATTAAGGAGACTTTTGGGTTGATTGAGAACACAATGGTGGCCCAATAATAAAAATGCAACTTGCCTAATAATTCGGCACACAGTGTAGTATAAATGCAACATTTTAAAGCAAAACTGATACGGAGGTGAGGAGAGGAGAGGAGAGTGAGCTGGCCACCCCAAAGATATTGCTGTTTTCCCTGTAGCTACTAACAGATAAATTTAGTCCTGTGTTTTAGATCGTTTTCATTTTATAACGTCCAAATGGCTCCAATATTCCCCGATAACAGGATGCACTTACACTGCTATCACTTTTGAAGTTTCTTGTGTCCAAATGACTTTGTTCTACTTAAGACTGGAGCTTAAGATTTAGTTTGTCGGATTTTAAGTGTAATACTTTGTGGTATTTCATTAATATGTACTTTCTTTTATTAACTTAACCATTATTCCCATCATAAATTCAAGTGTCTCCTTACACCTCTTTTTCTCATCTTTGTATATCCCCTTTCTTTTTTATAAAATTTGTATCAATATTCCCACGAAACCTATAACTTATTTACATTTCCTACAGCTTTACTGGCCTTGTATACATACAATGATACAAGAAAACAACTGTTAAGCATGGGTATGTCAGAAACCATTCAGACAGGTGTGAAATTGTGAGCATGTAATCAGGTAAAAAAAATCCTCAGGGTATTTAAACCTTTGATTAGGGTTATTTGAGTGGTTTCTGTTTGATTTATTTGTGACTTAAATAAGGTAAAGAAGGTTGGATTAATCTTAAAAACAGCAAAAAGGAAAAATCCCTGCATATGTAAAACTATGAGTGTAAAGGTAAACTGACAATGATAATATTCTAAGATGGTATATCCATTATCTTACCATAAAATATGAGGACATGTCTTTTTCAGGATCGGCTCTGGCTCTGTTAGTTAATAAAGTTTCATCCTGTGGATTATCTGTTCTTTTTTGCATCTTTTTGCAGAACTCCACATGTCTGTAGAAATCAAGCTTGCCTCCCAGCATGGCTATGCAGTACAAACAGTGGTAATGTGGTCGTTTGGCGCAGTCCAGTCCACATCTGTGGATGGTGTACCCTGAAACATGATGAACATAGGTTTCCTTCAATAAAATATTTAAATCATTATCTTAAAAGCAAAAAAAAAAGAAAATAAAAGATTACCTCCAAGTTGACAGGCCTTTTTCAGGTGAAATTCTAAATGCACCATGACTTTGGAGCGCTTTGCAGGCTTAAAAAAGGCCGGTGAGCAGAAGGGACAATGATACGTCCCTGGGGGGCAGCAGGTCATACATTTCTCCATTAAAGGGAAGGCAGTCCCTCTCTGGATGGTTATGTGAAGCTTAAAATAAATTAAAAAACGGGATTAACATCAACATTCATTCTAAATAGTGTACTAATGACAGCATTACCAAGGCTAAGCAGCAACTAAAGTAGCCTATGTTGCCTGCATACACCATTAATTAGCATAGCGCATGATAGTTTAGCATCCTGTTTGCACAGCATCCCATGCTATACAATGCACCAAAGCAAAGAATCATACAATCAGTCCACATTTCTATCCGTTAGGTAACGTTTCTAAGCAGCTAGCAGGACAATAATCGACCGCTTTCTGGATAAAATGCATCTTTTCCACAGTAACATGTATATAACAAGTAAAATATATGACCATAGAAAAGAAAAGAAACCAAGCTCAGACTTAATAAAAAGCATGTTTAAGTACTTCTTGAGCTTCACCGTCTCCCATGTTTTCCAAAAGTTGTCCTCGCCTGCTTTCTTTCTACTTCTTGCAATTTTTTTCACCAGGACTGCCGTCCGACTGAACGATTCAGTGCCGCCACCCTCTGGTCCGGAGGGTAACTACCCTTCGTCTTTCTTCTTTTGTAATGTTATTTTGTGATGGCGGTTTGCAAACAAATTGATAGTGCATTACCGCCACCTACTGGTATGGATCGTTGAACAAATTGACAGTAAAAATGTCCCCACTTTCCTTGGCTGGTCCCCTAATAAAGACTTTAGCTACGCAGCTCTTTCTGAGTGGAATATTTTACAAAGAAACTGGAAGTTGACTGAGTTAATATCTTTAAATGCTTTTAAGTTGAATGTGAAAGAATTTGAAGCAGCCTCAATGATCTGTAATTGTTTTTACTTGATATGTTTTTTTATTTTTTATGTACCTGTCATTTATTTGAATGTATCTATTTTTAATGTATCTTATGTAACTTTGCTGCCTCTTGGCCAGGACTCCATTGAAAAAATAGGTTTTTTTTATCTCAATGGGATTTTTTCCTGGTTACATAAAGGTTAAATAAAAAATTAAAAAGATTCCTTTTTTAACATCAATCTTTGTACTAAAATATTCTGTTATGATTCGTTGACATTAAGATCTAAGGAGAAGTGCCTTTTATCAGGTCAGACCCTGTAATTTAATGAAAGCGTGGAGTCAGAGTGAAAAAATATGCATGCCCAGGAGAAGGGAGACACTCCAGTGGCTGGAAATTGGCTGCCATTCGACTGGCATTTGACTGGGAAGGGCCATTTTGAATGGCTGCTACTAAATATTAACCAATAAACCTACTTTCCTTTATATATTTAATATAGTAAATCAATGTTATATATATATGTAGCTAATATAATCACTATTTATCCCATATTGTCTAAAACTTTTATGTTGAGCTTGATGCTCCTGTTCTTCCCTCCATCTCCAACTTTGTAACAATGGTTTACCAACTGACTTCTTTGAGTCCAAAAAACTTTTCGGCTCCTCTGGCAATGATTCTGAATTTCTCATTTCATTTCTCATTCAGGTCCCACTGTTCAAAAACGAATCATAAAAATAAAGTAAAAATAAAAAATATTTGACTTACCCCAAGATCTTCTTCGTCTACCGTTGGTCCCAAAAGCGTCGGTACAGCTGCCCTTTGCAGGTATAGTTTCTTGGGAGACTTTTTTCGCAAACCAGTCGACTGAACATAGTCTTCTCGCCGAAAATGCAAGGCGCAAACGCGATGGTCAGCTTCCCGAAGAACATCCACAGGTGTGTTTGTGTCGAACCCGAGAAATAACAGCCACAACTGTAGTCGTTCAGGACTGTGGAAAGGAAGTCGATGACAGCACCTATTATAAGGGATTTTCCCGCAGTTCCTGACAGCACAAATCCTTCCCATCTTGTTCTTGTTCTTCTTGTTCTTCTTCTTATTCTTCTTATTCTTCTTCTTCTTCTTCTTCTTCTTCTTCTTCGAGTTTTATGGCGGTTGGCAACAAACTGTTAGTAGCATTACCGCCACTTACTGGTATGGAGTGTGGTTCGTGATGGTTTAAATATTGATCCTGATACATTCTACCCTAACTTCTTCTAAACATACATTCACACATTCACACTTAAAAATATAAACATATTTGTGCACAGCTTTGTATATCATTCCTTCACTCACAAACACACTTACTATAATTAAATTCTATGGAATAATTTCGTTTTCTTTAGAAATCGAATAATTATTTGTATGTGTTTACTCCCTAAATTTTTCCTCAGTATATCTAATAAATTAACCTTCTCCTTAATGTCTTCAAACTCTCTTCTCATATATCTTCTCTCTCTTTCATATTTATGACATTCTAGTATAACATGTTCTATGGTTTCATATTTATCACAGAAATCACATTTGCCCGTTTTATGTTTTTGTATTTTAAAAAGTGTATAATTAAGTCCTGTATGACCAAATCTTAACCTTGTTATCACTCTTTCCTCCTTTCTATTTCTTCTTCCATTTCTTCTTTCTCCTACCATCTTCTGAATTTTATAAAACCATCTTCCTGTTTTATCTTCATCCCACCTTTTTTGCCAAATTTCCATAAGTTTCTCTTTAATAATACTCTTTCCTTCTGATTTACTTATTTTAACCATAAAACTAATAGAATGTTTAATTGCCCTTTTTGCCATTTTATCTGCCCTCTCGTTTCCCTCTACCCCAATATGTGCTGGAACCCACACAAATGTAACTATCAGCCCCATGTTTCGTATTCTGAACAGTGTATGATTTATTTCTAATAAAATGTCCATCCTACTATCTGTTTGGTTATTTTTTAAACTTAACAATGCAGAACTTGAATCTGAACATATTATTGTTTTTAATGGTTTTATGTCTTCTACCCATTGTAACGCTAATAATATTGCCAACATTTCTCCTGTGTATACTGATAATCCATCTGTAATCCGTTTTCCTATTTTTATATTGAATTCTGGTACTACAAATGCTATTCATAGTTTCTCAGTTATTTTTGATGCATCGGTATAAATTTGAATATATTGATGATAACTGTCTAAATGTAACTGTACTAAATTGATATCTACCGTGTACGATTTATCTTGTTTCTTTTCCATTAGTGACATATCTACTGTTGCTTCTGGTAGAATCCAGGGAGGTATAATTGATATTGGTGTTGTTTGACTCATTTCTAAACTATTCATTTTAAATTTTTTTTATTTTATTTTCAATTGTCCATCCAAAACTCCTCATTTCTTTCTTTTCTTTTTCCCAGCATGGATTTAAAATGTCCAAAGTTGGGTGATCCCCATTATTTCCTTGTAAATTTAACCAGTAATTGATTTCTAATTTCGTTCTTCTTAAATCTAATGGCATTTCTCCCATTTCTATTTCTAATGCTGCTGTTGGTGTGGTTTTAAATGCTCCAGTACATAATCTTAGTGCCTGATGTTGGATAATGTCTAATTTGGTTAGATGTGTTTTAGCTGCTGCACCGTAAACTAAACAACCAAAGTCTATGTTGGATCTTATCATACTTGTGTAAATCTGTTTTAGTGATTTCCTATCTGCTCCCCAGTCACTGCCAGCCAAACATCTCAAAATATTCAAGATTTTCTTACATTTATCAACAACTTTTTGTATATGTATATGCCATTTTAATTTTTCATCAAACCATAATCCTAAAAACTTTATACACTTTACCTGCTCTAACTCTTGTTTATATAATTTTAATTTTATTTCCTTGTTTATTTTTTTCTGAGTAAATAACATTACTTTCGTTTTATCAACTGAGAATCTAAATCCCCATTGCAACGCCCATTTCTCTATTTCAATAATAACCTTTTGTAATTTTTTAACAATAAAATCAACATTTTTCCCTCGTTTCCAAACAGCTCCATCATCTGCAAATAGTGAACACCCCATGTCTTTTTCAATATCTTTAAATACATCATTTATCATAATTGAGAACAATAGTGGAGTTCCATTTTCTACTTTATATTTTCCTGAGGTAGTTTCTCCTATTCTAACTTGTATTTTCCTACCTGTTAAAAAGTCTTTAATCCATTTAAATATTCTCCCTTTAATACAAAACTTGTATAATTTAATTAATAATCCATCCACCCACATCATGTCATATGCCTTTTCTATATCAAAGAATACAGCCACTACACTTTCTTTATTTACTTGTGCTCTTCTAATTTCGTGCTCTAAACAGAGCGTTGGATCGTTAGTGCTCCTCCCTTTTCGAAAACCACTTTGATATTTTGATATATATCCTTTACTATTTAGATAATATACTAGTCTATTATTAATCATTTTTTCCATTATTTTACATAAATTAGATGTTAAGGCTATTGGTCTGTAGTTTTCTGGGTTTGAATGATCTTTTCCTGGTTTGGCTATTGGTATTATAATTGATTCCTTCCAGTTCAACGGTAATTTTCCCTCCTCCCAAATTTTATTATATAGTTGTAATATTATATCTTTAGATTTTTCACTAAGTTGCCCTATCATTCTATACCAGATTTGGTCTTTACCTGGTGCTGTGTTTTTTGTCTTTTTAAGTGCATTGTTCAATTCAGTTTTTGTAAACTCAACATTTAACAAATTATTTGTTTCTTCAACGCTCTGTATAAAATCTTTATATTTAATTTTTGTATTTTCTCTACCTTTTCTTCCATTTTCACTAATATTATTTGAACTATGAATTTTACTAAATGTTCTTGCCAATATTTCAACTTTATCTTCATCTCTTATTATGTTTGTATCATCTATTTTTAGAACAGGATAGTCAAACTCTCTTTTTATACCATTCATTATTTTGATTACCTTCCAAATTTTTTCAATTTTTGTTTCTTTCCCTATCGTATTACAGAATTTTTTCCAATATTCTCTTCTTGCATTCTTTATAGTTCCCCTTACTATTGCTTGTTTTCTTTTATAATCAATAAAATTTTTATAAATTGGATTATGTTTGAGTGTCTTAAATGCTTTATTTCTTAACTTTATTGCTTCTTTACACTCATTTGTCCACCATGGAACCATTTTCTTATCATTCTTACTCCCTGATTTCTTTATAGAATTATCTGCTGCTTCCATTATTATTTTACCAATTATTAAATTTAAATCATTTATATCCATACTCATGTCTACTTTTTCTAAGTTTATTTGACTCAAATATCTAAATTTAGTCCAGTCAGCCTTATTAAAATTATACTTTTTCCCAATTTTAATATTCCTATTATTTAAATTTAGCCCTACTCTTACTATTATGGGGTAATGATCGCTACCTATTGTAGATTTTTTATCAATAAACCAATCACAAATACCAGCTAAAACATTTGAGACAATTGTTACGCTTCAGATTCGAACGGGAAGCGGAAGTTTATAAGCGGTTGTGATGTATCGGAAAAAATAGTTCTGGGATTTACAAAATGCTAAATAAAACAAGACAGGAACGTTTTTTCTTCACAAAACTTTTTTTGGAACGTCATTGAACAGCGCTGACGACCCGGTGAGTAGCATATTTAAAAAAAAGAACGTTTAAGGTTGTTTTAAGGACATTATCGGACATGCACTATGCAAGCCATTCTGAAGCAGCCAGGGGGGGATTCTGCATGAGCCAAATAGCAGAGACAGGACCAATTGTCAAAATTTTGGTGTCGATCATTCGATTTCATCCTGGACACTACAGAAAAGGGGCTAAAAGTGTTAAAAACCGGAATTTTCCTTTAAATTGAGTTTCTCTACTGTTGGAGTGAAATGATCTTTCTTCATTTTGCTTTTGTGCCTGATTCTGAGTTTGATTCATTTCTCCTGTCCTTTGTCCTTAAGCTGTCTTCACTGCTTCTGCATAGCTTATATGTTCTGTTGGTTTAAAGTGTATTTCCACTGCTTTCTTTCTCACCTCACATCCTCCATGGTTAACTCTGTGTTGGCCTCCATAGTTGCAGCACCTTACTTCAGCTTCTTCCCTGCATTCCTCAATTCTGTGTTCTTCTTCACATTTTGATCACCTTTGCTTTCCCCTACAAACTGCTGCCATATGTCCATAACGCTAACACCTGTTGCACCTGAGTGGATGCAGAATAAAAGGCCTAACTGGGAAAGTCATGAAACACATTTTGATCCTTTCTGGTAAAACTATCTCTGCAAAACTATCAGCAGTGATGTGCTTGCCACCCTTTCCCCTTGCATGTTTTTATGCAGTCTCTGTATCTTGTTAACCTTGCCTCCAATAATGTAATTTTCTAATCGTTTTAAATCCTCATTAATTGATACTTCTGTTATTAATTGATTTACGTTATTGGTCTCACATTGGAGAAATTTACTTGTTACATAAGTTCAAATATATTAAAGAAGAAGAATGTGCCAAAGGAAGACAAATGTGTATCAGATAAATACAGTTTATACAATGCGTATATATAAATATATACATACACAAATATATAGTAGGATCATTATACAGGGTTATTGCACAGGTTATTGCATATACCCTGGTATGTTGCAATATTCCGCAGATGAAATAAGGAAATTTCAGAAAACTCTTTGATATGGGATTTAAATGACAGGTCCTGATCAAAAATAACACCAAGATTTGTTACTTTATTATCGGAAGTCAGTTTAATCCCATCCAGATGAAGTGAATGACTAATCAGCTTATTTTCCAAAGACTCTGGTCCAAAGACTAAAACTTCTGTTTTGTCTGCATTCAGAAGCAGAAAGTTAAGAGTCATCCAGTTTTTTATGTATCTATGTAATGGGTTAGCTTCATCTGGATTTATAGACAGAAATAGCTGAGTATCATCAGCAGAACAGTGGAATTTAATCCCATGCTGTCTAACAATTCTACCAATTGTGAGCAAATATATAATAAATAGAATTGGTCATAGCACTGAACCCTGGAGCATGAAGAAGATTTATAACTAGAAAATTTCTAAAGAAATTTTGAGGGGG